TGGTCGATGTTTACCAACGTTTCGGAGGTCATACTGCCTCCATCATCAGGGCGATGAGTTTGAAGATTTCTGTCTTCTGGGTTGTTGCGCTGTGTAGTATGGTCGATGTTTACCAACGATGGAGGCAGTATGACCTCTGAAACGTTGGTAAACATCTACTAGACTACACAGCGCAACAACCCAGAAGACAGAAATCTTCATACTCATGTTAAAGTTTGCATATTTAAACTGAACATGAAATATGAGGTCAAAGAATACTTCTGATGTGTTTAATGTGTAAAATTATGTCATAGCACGGAGCCACTTGAATTTTAACTTCTGTTACCTGAAGGCAGCAGCCTGGCAATCTGGTTCCTCACGACACCATCCTTGACATTCATACAGGGAAAGGTTTTTTACTGTGTAGTATGTGCTCCCTCTGTAGTCAAGTTCAGTCAACTTCTCAAATGCCACTCGACCTGTGAACATAACAGTTGAACACTATAAATGTGTTCATAGATTTGGGTTACATCAGTTTGTTATAATTTTATTGCATTTTACTGTGAATACTATCAGTATTATTTTTATATTATTATTAGTCTTTATTTTCTAATTTATACATTGGCTTTAGGCGTACTTCTATTCACAATTTTTGCAGGAATACTGTGCATCTGTATTATTTAACTTATAAGATAAATATTTAATATTGCATGTATTCAGCAATAGTATTTTTATATGAGATGTGAGGTTTTCGTGCCAGTGAAGATGTCAGTATTGGACTTCTAGGTTTGTTTCTCTGAAAAATTGGTATCTTACCTACAAGTCCACACTTTATAACAACTCTAAATTTCAACATTGACAGCTCTTTTATGACAGGTGTAAATTTATTCATTTGTAATTCTGTAAAACCGCCACGGTGGTCTAGCGGTTAGAACGCTGGCCTTGTAATCCTGGGGTCCGGGGTTCGATTCCCGGCGGTGCCCGAATTTATAACTTGTGTTGGGCAAGGCCGTGGTCTAGACAACACGGAGTTTTCCTCCGGGGGCTTCCCCGGTTTCTCCGTGGCATCGCAACAATTACTCCATTCACACACAGAAGAAGGCAATGGCAAACCACTTCTGGATCATCTGCCAAGAACGTATATGAACAGGTCCCAGTCCGAGAAAAGGATGGAAGGATTCTGTACAAAATATGTCGCCAACCTCCTGTAGACGGCGTAATAAAGAAGAAGAGAATTCTGTAAAATGGTCTGTCTGCTAAAGTATCTGAATCGTTCCTTCAACCTTAGTTACATATTATTATTACTGCTGCCGTAATAATTTTTATTAATGATTGTGACTGTAAACATTTTTTTAGTCTGGCACTGATTCTGTGCAAAATTGGTATTTTGAAAATTGTTTTTTTTAATAGTGGTGAAACTAATGTCATATGCTTTGTGCACAAAACTAGTGAGTATTAATTTTGATCATAAATTGTCTGTCTATAGATGCCAGCTTCGTAATCCTTTGATACAAGTTAAAGGAATCTGTCAAATATAACCTCACTCACTCTATGGCGAAGGAAATTCTTTGAAAAGTCAATATATGTGGCTTGTCAAAGAATAGCCCACTTTCTTTATGGAACCCGAATGTTCGTTACCATGTTCACAAAATCTCACCACCAGACTCTATCCTGAGCTAGCTGCATCCAGTTCACTCCATTGATTCCTATCTCCCTAACGTCCATCTTGATGTTATCCTCCCACCTACACCTAGGTCTTCCTAGTAGTCTCCTTCCTTTGGGCCTCCCCTCCCCCATGCGTGCTGCATGTCCCACCCAACTCATCATTCTCGATTTAATCATCCTGACAGTATCTGGTGAGGAGTACAGGCTGTACAGATCATCATTATGCAATTTTCTCCAAGATCTGTCTCCCTCCCTTTTAGGTTCAAATATCTTCAACACTCCTTTCTCAAACACCTCAGTCGATGTTCTTCCCTCAAAGTGAGAGACCAAGTTTCGCACCCATACAGCACAACTGACAAAATAGCACTTCGGTGTATTTAATCTTTAGTATTTTTATATGAGACGGGAGTACAAAATATTTTGAACTGAATGATAGCAAGCATTCCCTGAATTTAATCCGCTCTTGATTTAGTCATGGATGTCGTCCTGACTTGTTGGTGTCGTCCCCAAGTACTTGAATTTTGTCACATTTTCGAACGATTCGTCAGCTGTCCGTATATTCTGGTTCTGTCCTGAATTCTGACGCCGAAACGTGATCATGTCCTTTGTCTTTTCTGCATTTATTTCTAGACCAACATCCCTACTAGCCCTTAGGAATGTTTTTGTGTTCGCTTTTATAGGATCTGTATTATGGCCCAACAGATTAATATCATCAGCACAGACCGAAATCTGATATGTCCCATTCAATTTCAAAACGCCTTGATTTTCTTGGGACTTTCCTGGTGGCATATTCTAAGGCGAAATTAAGCATCTCCCTGTTTCAGACGATTCTGAATAAGAAATGTGTCAAGACAAATGTTTCCCTACGCGAATTTTTCTAGAGCTTTCACTTAAACATGTTTTAATTAACTTAACTAACTTCTTAAGTACACCAAATTCAAGCAAAATATCGTAAAGAGAGTCTCTTTTAACTGAATTATAGGCTTTCTTGAAGTCTATAAATAGTTGATCTTCTGTCCCATTGTACTCCCACTTTTTATATAGTTTCTGGCAAATGTAAAAAATTTGATCAGCTGTAGGTCTATTACGATGGAACCCACACTAATTATCCTCTGTAATTTCATTGGCATACGGAGTCAGCCTCGCCAGAAGAACGTTGGATAAAATTTTGTAGCCAGATGATAAGAGGCAGATTCCTTGATAATTGTCTTATCACCCTTCTTACGAATTGGTACAATAATACCACAGCAGCGGCACAAAATTTATTATATTAACGATAAATTAGAATTTTAAGGTTGGTCCCTCGCCATCATTTATGCTGACAGTGCTGTATGTTGGGACACTATATTTCTCTTGTGGCCATTTTATAATATGTTGAATTGTTTTTTCCTTTTGTGCATTCTTTGCGCGATGTGAAAGAAATTAATGCATACAGGGTTGGTCATATCTGTCCGCATAATTCAGTTTAACAACAGCTGGGCTGATTTGGATTTTTGTCATTGGGACCACCCAAAAATCATACTATTAAATTTCCTACAGTTGGTATTGTTCCATAAATTTTACTTTGTTTGCTGGATGTTTAGTTTGTAGGCAAATTAACGAATGAGTATAATGTGTATGATTTATTTCTTGTGGAATGATTAAGTACAGTGAGATGTAAAATGATAGGATGAACTAGTAGACCCAATTTCATATTTTCAATGGCGGCGGAGCTAATCGTGAGACCCTGCGCGAGTAAAATTGATTAGTGAGGGTCCTTAAGAATAAATACGTAAGTCATTTTAGGTAATTTCAACTGTTATAATTTTATCGATTTAAAACTACCTCTAATCTGGTTTATGAAATTCTTGCTTTTTCAGCTGTAAATCCTAACGCGGATAATTAGTGCCATATTTCTTTCGCCAACAACATTTTATGGAAGGTTTTTTAAGAAATTGTGTTTATTCTCTCCACAGGCTTTTATCGAAATCTTTCTCAGTTTCTTCTTCATTGTTGTCGATCTCAGAAAACTCACACACACGTAGAACGCAAACTACGGCAACAGTATAAAGAGAAAATGCAATTCGTATACATAAAAGTGCAGGTGTTCGTATGTTATGATCACTGAAAAGAAAATAACCTACTTAAACTCCTGCCATATGTAGGCCTACTCGTTAAAAACTGGTTTAATCAAAGAATAGGTTATGAAGGTTTGGGCATTGTATAACGCAAGGCACCAGATACACAATCAATTCCAGCGCCTGTAGGATTAGACAGCAGTACACCTAGTCAAGTTTTTTGTTCTACATACACCAGTATTGGATTACCTAATATGTCAGATTACGGGACTCACGAACACTCGATTGGGGAAGAGAACTGTTATTCATACATGGCCATTGGAAACCGTTAGCTATACCGCACCATCGACGGACACGTGAACATCACAGCTAGCCACCATTGTTCACGATTCGCACCGAAGCAGCAACAGGCTATATCGCTTACAGAAGTAGCACGCATTTCAGTGTGAACATTTCACGCACGAACGACAGCGATATCGCTTTTAAAATTATCGATCAGCGAAATGCGATAAGTATCGAGAACAACTTTTTATGCAGTGCGTCACGAAAGACTAATTATGACAACGGAATATTAAGTTTATATAACATGTAGAATATGCTCTATGCTCGCAATACACACAAATTCTGGGTGTTCTCTTTTTTTATTTGATTCGTCAGGACGAAGATGGTGGTAGAAGTGGAACAACGTTTCAGGGGCATTCGACCTGATGACGGATGCAACAAGGAGCTCTGAAACGTTGGTAAATTGCTTACCTGTAAATGTTCAGTCGCACGTGGCAACTTTCCAGCGCGCTCTCAACATTAATGGATAACGAATGACTTGGCTTCAGCGAAAGTGCATTTAATTTTCCGAAACTTTGGCCTACTTGCTAATATAAAAACCGATATTTCCTTTACATTTTTCTGCAAAGTAGAAAGGTTGGCCGATTATGAGATACGATATTGGAGTGTAGGTGGATCTGAGCGGCCATGTTTACTCTCCGGTCGTGTCTGGTTCCGGTGAAATATCTTTTGACTCTTATTTGAAGTGAGGGGAGATAGGACGATGTAAAGTAGAGAACATTCTTAACCCCCATCGGAAATCGTACTACGGTTATTTAGAGCTTAGACTGTCGATTTTCTGAGTTGTCATAGTTGTTTGAGAAGGTAACAGTCTTTTAGCAAGTAACATCTTATGTCTTTCCGAACGTCCGTTATTGTTATATAATTGCATTATTGTTAGGCTTACTACACTGAGCCACATGAATCCAATCTACAACCTCCCATCCGATTTCTCTAAGACCCATTTTAATATATTCCTTCCAAGATATGTAAGGAGGTAGGCTCCACGCATTCTCAATCTCGCCAATGAGTCAAGAGCGTAATGCTCCAGCCACATTACACCAAAGAATACATTCCCTGGGTAGAAGACCGGGTGAACCCCAGAACCAGTTTGTGTTTACCTGCTTTCCTAAACCGACTCAGATAGTAAAAAGAGAAGTCTGTTTACAAAGTGTGAACCGTAGGGCCTTCGTCGGATTTGAGGATTTCACGGCGGTGAGTCAGGACCCAACGAAAGCTGAACTGTCATTCAAAACATGAAACCTTCAAAGCCCAATGCTACTATAGCACCTTCTAGAAAAATCAACATTTTGAAGATTCTATTTATGGGTTTTGGATGGTTCTCATAATAAACAGCGATTATTTCCCTAACAACGTTAACCATTTTATCTTTGGGATGATGAAGTGGTATGTTTTCTTTGCGGTAAGGACAGAATTCCTAAATATTCATTAGAAGATCTTCAGCTTCAAAGGATTAACTGGTATTAAATACCGCCACTATACGAGTAACAATTGGTATATGAGTCACAAAATGAAAACCTAACCTCTAATTCGCCTATTCAGTACTACATTTTATTAGTATCAGGTCCCAGCAAACCTTGTCAGCAAATACAAGCAAGGTAGTAAGGACTCTGCCAGACTAGAGGTCTCAAGGCTGAGCTCAGAGTATAATACCAAGTGAATGACACATGAATCACTTTTTTTTCATCTTGTGCTGAGATAAATTCTGGTGACGTGGTTACCTTCACCGTACTACCAAAGAGAATGAAGTGTTACGTCATCAGAATAACGTAACATATGCAGACCTATACGTACTTAGACTCATGACGGCGTGACTTAAGATGAGAAGAAGTATCACTGTTGTCCATCGGCAGGCTGGAATGTTGCATTTACTAGTGAGTCGCATCGCAAATCTGCAAACGAAAGAAATATTGTTAATAGTCATGGACTTCTTATTAATTTTACTTACGTAGTGTGGAAAAGTATTGTGGTAGAGAAAATCCCGATGTTGAATAAGTTCGTTTTAGATAATTGATTTTTGTCTGAAAACAGATTTTTGTATACCGCTGGTCTGTGTGCTCCCTCGCACCAAAACGGTTTGGTGTATGTTCTACACAAGTGACATCTGTTAACAGTTACATTAAACAAAGATATCTTACGAGTAAATATATATATTTTTTCCCTTGATTTTAAGATGCACTTTTTTAACTTGAAAATTTCTTAAATTGGAGTGTGTCTTATTTAAATTTGATGGTGTCTAAGAATCGATGCAGAAAAATACTATTGTATGACTAAATCGTAAGGAAAATCTTCATGTCTATAACACTAGTCATGGGACAGTAAACACGAAGATAGAAACAAACATTCAGAAAGTATAAAAACAAAGAAGTTTTGTGCCTCAGTATTGACAGTTCCTGTTGAAATATACTTTTTTCCCCTAATACTAAATAAAGTGTGCGTTTCATAATCGACGGTGTTTTAAAATATGGTATTATACATTGGTATTAACAGGAGTTAACACGAATGTTACAACTAGGCATGGATGGTCTATTAAATTCTTCTCGTACGCCTAGTGTCGAAGTTGTTACTAGTGCTTAATTAAGCACCATGACGTGAAGACATGGAGGAGTGGAGATATAGAGGTATAAATTAGTTCTTAGTTTTTAACTAATCCCCTGGGGCAGAGTCCTCTAGTAGCGGGTAGTACGTCAGTTGGCCAGTTCCCCGCCATTTGTGAAATCATGGTACACTACTGTGTTTATGTGCTCGCCGCCGGACGCTATCCTTTGCCAGTTGAATCCATTCCACACTCTACGCTCTGTTTAAGATCCATGATAATATTATTTCTGCATTTGTCTGTGTCTACCATACTATGTCTTCATTTCTTGTTTCCGGGAGATCCATATTAATATTATTTCTGCATTTGCCTGTGTCTACCATACTATGTCATCATTTCTTGTTTCCTGCTAAATTCTGTATTTATCGTATTCCTCTACGCGTTTCACCTTTCTCATACTCTCTTACTTTATAATAATATTTGGTGAAGAGCACAAATTATGAAGTTCCCCACTGAGTAATTTTCATCATAATCCGTGTTCTTCCTCACTTAAGCTATCGTGCTTAGGTTTTTGTTCTCAAACACGTTTATTTATAACCTTCACACTAAATTTGTCCAAATTCTATACAACTTTCTGTCCACGGGCTTTAATAACCTCAGATACTGAAGTATGTAAAGGTTTTTACGACACAATAATTCTACCTATTTGTGCTATTCCAGGAAACCATCCAATGGCACTACAGCCCAAGTTCTGGCCTTAGCCTCCTCTCATGTGGAAGGTTTCCTAGTCTTTGAATTGTGCATTTGTGAGTAGTGAGTGACCAGCCCACTGCCTCTGCACAATTTCTACTCAATCCTGATTTGACAGCTAGAGCCATCTAACAGTGAATCAGGAGAGACTTGGGTGAGAAATGGCCGCTGAATTTTTGCTTACGAAACATCTCTTTCATGCTCGTAAGTTTCTTTTATATACCGTAAATCTACGACATGGGACCGTCACCTTTACTTCCCCTCCGAAGGAAGTTGTGCTAAGGATTCTTATCACCCTTAAAAGTCCATCGACCTCGGCCGGGTTTGAACCCGTGGCGAGCACTCTAACCACCGAGGGCGACACTATACTTCATACTCCACAGTAAACAGAGCGTCTCTTTGTTGTTCGTGCTGAGACCAAATTGTATGTGCCGGATCATTGGGCTAACATTCTTCATGTGGTTCCCGTATTATGTGCGTGGTAAAGAAACTGATTTTTTGTCTTCTGTAATGAAGATATCTGACATCCGAAACTAAGCAATGTTGCTCACATGTCCATGCTGTGAAAACTTGTAGGAATGTTGAGGTAAAGTAGCACTCATTCTAGGCTTCTCGAAACTTCCATATGGACAGATATAAAATGTTAGGCTTAACGCTGTGGTTACTTTACCACAGTCAGTCTGGACGTGTTAATGAAAGAACATACCTTTATCTCTACTCGGAATCAAATTCTGTACATAGCCAGTTCATTACTAACTGAGGTTTCCTTACTTTCGTGCGAGTCAAATGACGTAGATCTCCATTCTTACTGCCACCGTTAACCAAGGTCGTTTGGCGCGTAACATAAGCTTTTGTTTATCCAAGTAGCAGTAACCTGTCATCAACTCCAGTTATTAATGTGGCAGCCATAATGCCACTATAAAACTGGCGATGATCTTTTCCTTCGGCTTGTAGCAGTACTTCGTGTTTCAGGCTTATTTATGGAAATACATAAGTTGCATTCAATGTCATGTATATACCACACTAATAGCTTTGGTTCGTAGATGTGTAGGCCTACGTGCAATTTGGCTCCGTTTATGTATCATGCCGCTGAGGGGTTTTAGCAGCAACGCCCTCACGTCTCAGTCAGACATCAACACGACTGTTATTTTTATGATTTACTTAGATCGTTGCCTCATTTCTGCCTTGTATTGTTCTTGCTAATTGCCAATTAAAGAGGTGTAAAGAGACGAAAAATATTTGGTGAAGGAATAACGAACGGGATACACATAATTGTTATTGCAATCCCATTAAGCGGCTATGATCAGAACAACTACTTGGGATACACAAATAAAAATTTAAAAAGTTACAGATACGTGAAGATTGGAGGAACTAATAATAAAGCCAATATCACAGAAACTAACAAACCTATACACCTTGGTACAGTATACCCAGGGATTACAATGATTGTAAAAACTGTAGTAAATAAATAATTAAATGTTGGCATCGTCTATGTGAAAAGTGTTTCCAGAACTAGAAAATGAACAGCATGGTAGGTTAGGATGGATGGGACTAGCGGACGAATAGGTAAACCTCTCTGTCTGCGTTGCGTGCGAGTGGCGCTGTAATCGGTGCTGATCTGTAGTGTTTCGCTTGACTTTAGAGTGAGTGAAGTAAAAATTACTGCGTAAATAGAAGAGTGTACAGTTTTATTTGAAACTTGGTGTTTTAAGGTAAGGCAAAAATAATGTGTTTTAAACGTTCATATATGTTAATATTGCAGTTTAGACAGGCATGCTATTCTGAATTGCGGTTTATTGATACTGTTAGTGAGGTTAGAGTAGTCAGATATTCTGAGTGTCAAATTCACAGTCGTAATATATCAATTAACCAAGTAGAATAATATGTCCGCTTGGGGATATTTTAAAAGTTTCAGTTTTAAACTATATTTCATACTCTTAGACCAGCATTTCTCCAACTTGTGGTGCCTACATATGGGGTCATGTGAATCAAATTTTTTGTAACAACTGTGAAAGATGAACAGAATGTAATTATTAAAGTAGTATTAATCATACTTAAAAAACATCATTGAAATTAAATGTTATGAAATGAATTTCCCAATAGTTTATTATGTTGGGTAAATATACATTTATCACAGAACATATGAATAATACTGGAAAATCTTTCAGAGAAGGTAGAAGCATTCGGCATACAGCAGACATTTTAATGTACCACACTATGAGTAATGCTACAAAGTCTGAATTTGGCAAAACCATTTCAACCTTGACAGCAACAAATTGTTCGGATACCATTGTTTCTTGTTGAAGTGCTAGCAGACATGACCTGTGGTAATATTTAAAGACAAAAAATTCCATGACGAATGCAAGGATGGATTTCCAGTACATAAAATGCGCTGTATGATATAAAAAAACTGAATTTTTCTGTAATAACGCGTAGTTATTCATCAAAACTGGTGGTCCGATACACCTACTGGCTTACGGGTGAATGGGGCATAATTCGGTCCAGTATTTGAGGTTAGAAACCAGTCGCAATAAAAATGTGTACTGTGTGGGAAGGGCCAACCTTGCTTGGGGTAACCTCTCATCTACTGAGTATGGTGTACCAGCTGTTTTATTTTTGTGGTATGATTTACCAGAAGTTGCCCTATTTAGTTAAACTATTTAATCAGGAACTTTGCTGTTGTTTTCTATTCTGTTCTGTTTGTTTCTTTATATTTTTCAATTCATTCCTGAAAAATAATTCGAAACATGAAACGGTTGTCGCTAAACGTGTTAATCTAATATATTTACAACGCGTTCATCAAAGCTTAATGTAAGACGTGTTTTTGCAGCGAAGTTCTGGAATAGCAAGAACCATTGTTTAGTTCTGATACAACTATATAAATTATAGCCGTTCTCTTTTCCTGAATTTAAACAAAACTCAAGCATTCTTAAACTCGTCACTGTCATTGAAAAATCAGTCCCTGGTATAGCACCAATATGATAGATCGCCGATGGTGAGGAAGACAAAATTCTAAAAAAAGTTGTAATTAGTTTACTGATTGAGTTATTACTGTCAGTACGTTTTGACAGTCTTAATTATTTATTTCTTGTCCATAATAATATTTAATAATTTGTAATTCTTGATAGAAAATTTGTACAGTCAGTCTAATTCGTTCGCTGGTGGATCTAAAATGCATTCCGGTGTATTATACACCAGTGGTATTTAACCTGGGGTACGCGTACCCCCGGGGGTACGCGAAGACATCTTAGGGGGTACGCGAAGACATCGTAGGGGGTACGTGAAATTTAAAAAAAA